GGGGGGGGGGGCCGCCCGCATGCGCGTGTGGCAGCACGCGCGCGCGCGTACACACCACACACATACACATGCGCACGCACACACGCCGGAGATCCCGCATGCGCAGGGCCAGTCGATCAGTTGGCAGGTGCCCGCATGGATCGTGCGGGCTTTTCGGCGCCCGCGATCCCCCTCCGCCCCGGGAGGCGCTGCGGCACATCCCCGGGCATAGCCGCATCCTCTCTGGCCCCCTCTCTCGCCCACCTCCTTCTCTCGTCGGGTCTTTTTTCTCTCTCTCGCCCTTCCCTGTGCTTCCCTCGCCCGCCCCTGCCGCTGCCTCTGCGCCGCCCATCACCCGCCCCTCCCCCGACACACGACGTCATGTCTGGCCGCAATGAGGCGTACATCTACCGCGACGCGGCCTGGGTCCTCCAGCAGCTGGCCGCGCGCAAGGGATCGCTCAAGCACCTGATCGCCTCGGACAAGGTCAACCACAAGCGCAAGGTATGTTGTGTGGCGATGTCCGGGCGGTGTGTGCCGAGGCGATTGCCCGGCAGGTGTGGCCTGTTCGGGCCCTGTCTCCCCCCTCTTCGGGGCCGCCGGTCGCATGCGGCCCATGTGTTTGCTCCTGCTCTGACCATGCCCCCCCCCCCGTCCCGCGCACAGACATATGCCCTGGTCTGTGAGACACTCAAGTATGGTCCGGCCATCGATACGCTCATTGAGAAGATCGAACTGCCCCGACTGGCGCGGCCCCTGTCCAAGTACGTGCATACATGCATGCATGGTGGGACAGCCGTTGCCTCGCCCTCCTGCCTCGCCCTCCTACCTCCCCTACCGCCCCTCCCCCTACCGCCCCTCCCCCTACCGCCCCTCCCCCTACCGCCCCTCCCCCCCTGCCGGGGCGGGCCTTCACCCTGCTAACGCTGCATGATGGTGGCTGGCCCCACACCAGGGAGCTGCTCATGGTCATGGTGTATGAGACGCTCCTGTCGCCGAAGGCCCCTCCCGGGAACACGCCCACGTCGGGGCCCTTCTTCCAGCGCTTTGGCCCGCTGGGGCGGACCTTCCTGCCGCATGTGTCGCTCCTGCGCACGGCCCTGGTCAAGTACAAGATCGCGCGCGGCGTGGCGGACAACACCGAGCTGATGTCGGATCGCGCGCGCCAGGTGGAGGCCCACTTCGTGCCGAAGTATGTGCGGGTGAATGCGCTGCGTGCGGACCAGCCGGTGCCCGGGCTGAAGGCGGCCCCGGAGACGGGCCCCATGGCCGACAGCGAGGATGAGACCTTCGAGCCGGGCGTCCGGCGCTTCATCGAGTACCTCCGGGCCGAGCGGTGGACCGAGCTCCCGCGCGGCACGCCGATGGCCGTCCTGGCGCAGGAGTTCGTACGTGGCTGCCACTGACTGCCGGGCATGCTGTTCGCCGTTCCCATGTGCTGACACTGGCGCTTCCGGGCGGGCCCTCTGGTTTGCTTTCCCCCCCCCCC